TTCAGCTACAAGGTCTATACTATTGTTTATCGTTTTGATTTGATGTAATTCAAAATCAACTTCCATGGTTTCAATCTTCCATACTGGAAAGTCAGGCCATACAATAGTTGGGCAGAACTCTTTTTCACTCACCCCCAAATCTCTAGCTGTCTCATCTCCTATCCATCCAAAACTAAACTTTGGCGCCCTTTCCTTTTCCCAGCTAGCTTGCAGTACCCTCTTAGTAGGATGTCTATCTCTATGTCCCTTTAGATTAATTCAATAATTTACCAGCAATTGTTTATGTCGAATGTCCAGTGGCATTTCTCCCGCTTCCACTTGTACTGCACATACTGGTGACGTTTTTACTGCTCCTAAACATAGTCTCAATGCTTTAGCCTGTATTTATCATCCACATATCTGTAGTATTCAGCTACAAGGTCTTATACTATTGTTTATCGTTTTGATTTGATGTAATTCAAAATCAACTTCCATGGTTTCAATCTTCCATACTGGAAAGTCAGGCCATACAATAGTTGGGCAGAACTCTTTTTCACTCACCCCCAAATCTCTAGCTGTCTCATCTCCTATCCATCCAAAACTAAACTTTGGCGCCCTTTCCTTTTCCCAGCTAGCTTGCAGTACCCTCTTAGTAGGATGTCTATCTCTATGTCCCTTTAGATTAATTCAATAATTTACCAGCAATTGTTTATGTCGAATGTCCAGTGGCATTTCTCCCGCTTCCACTTGTACTGCACATACTGGTGACGTTTTTACTGCTCCTAAACATAGTCTCAATGCTTTAGCCTGTATTGTATCAAGTCTTGCAAGTACAGATTTGGCTGCTGATCCATATAAGTTACCACACTCCCAGAATCTATTCTTGACCTCTCACCTCACCTCACCCTCACTCTCACTCTCACTCTTTTGATGTCCTCTTCTCTAGTAACCGCAGTGTTGCCAACTTCTATATCGTAGCATGCAGGAGTTGAGCGTGAAAATTGAAGAGTGCCAAATGTCGCGACAAGTCCCAAGATGTCCGCTGCTGATGACGAAATGACATCACACGCACGCGCTACGCCGATGTAGTTGCCTAATCATGTGTTTTTAAAGCAAACAGTTTTAAAGGGGTCATATGATGCTGCTAAAAAGAACATTATTTTGTGTATTTGGTGTAATGAAATGTGTTTATGAGGTTTAAGGTTCAAAAAACACATTATTTTCCACATACTGCACATTATTGTTTCTCCTCTATGCCCCGCCTTTCTGAAACGCGTCGATTTTTACAAAGCTCATCGGTCTGAAAAAGCGAGGTGTGCTCTGATTGGCCAGCTATCCAGAGCATTGTGATTGGCCGAATTCCTCAAGCGTGTGACGGAAATGTTACGTCCCTTACCATATTGTGATGCCTGCGGCAACCACATGTGACGACCCCGGGCTGGACTCGCGCTTTGTCCACGGTAAAAGTCGATCGACAGCGCGAAGTTGAAGTATTTCCTCAGCGACCAGCACGGATCAGCTCCAGGCATGACGAAGCGATATCCTCCTCTTTTGGAAGCCCAAACAAAGTAGTTTCGCTTTCACAATGAAGCACACAGTGCCTTCACGACATGGCGGCAGCGGCAGCAACAATACTACAGCGAGAATAAAAGTCATGCCTTCTTTCTTTGCGTGAACATTTGGGCGGCGTTATGCAAATCTTCCCACATAGTGACGTAGGTATGTGGGGGCGTGTTAGAACGAGCTGTTTTAGGTAGGTGTGGCTGACTCTTAACTTTTATAAAGAATATCTCTTTGGATTTGAGACTTTAGTCTTTGCAACTTTACAGATCTTCTTTATGCACCAAGAGCTTGTAACACTCCAAAGAGAAAGGAAAAATTGAAATCGCATCATATGACCCCTTTAAACTAATAGATGCGTACATTATATAATCATATGTCAGAGTCAACATGGTGTAAATAATTAGTTAAAAAGGCTGTATTTATTACAGTTGACTGAGTACCAAAACTGGATTTTAAAACTTGTGCAACAGTTTTCTTCTATAAAAAAAAAAGAATATATGTATACATGATCTCCTGAAGCATTTACTGCATAATCATGTTCCCAGAATATATAGGAAAATGCAAAAACATTATTAGATACTACTGTAAAATTTACAGCAATTATTTAGCATGTTCCCAGACTACATTAGACTTTGGAAACTTTTATTTGTTTTTTCCAAATTTGTTCATAAAAAGGCCTACAATTCAAGGACATAGAATCATTATGGCGGGAGGGGTGTAAATAAAACTCATTTTATTAATTTGTATATTCATTAAAATTCATAGAAAAAAGTAGCCTAAGCCTACAATGACAATAAGCAACAGTAAAACATAAATTAATCAAATTGATTGTGAAAGTCGTTTCAACTTAAACTGACTTAAGAAGATGTTTGTTGCCATGACTTTTTGATCATATTATTACCTGTAACATGTCTGTGCCATACCCAAATCAAGAATTAATGACCATTTCTACAGCCATTGCATGATACAGTAGAGAAAGATCGAGAGCATCTATTTACCTCAGCAGCAACCAATCTCGCATTCTCGCATCTGCAGTGCTTATTTTGATCTTTAACATTAGATCTTTCCTGTTCTCGAACAAAATTAATGCTTAAGGTTGATTCAGTATTACTCTTAAAGAAAAAAAAGTCCCACACACAACATCAGCAATACTACAATGACAAAGTAGCTTATATTTGTCAGCATCCTACCTCCTGTATCCGTGTCCCTAGAGGTCCCTGTTTTTTTCCTCTGCCTTAGTTCTTCCTTGTGTGGCCTTGTTAGCGTTATCCAAGTCACCTGCGCCTTGTTTTCCCCAGTGTATTTAAGTGGTGTATTTTTCCCCGGGTTCCTCACTCGGTTTTTGAGTCTTCACCCTGTGTCTCCTGCCTGGTCTCGCTAAAGCCTCTCTAACTACCCCAAGTAAGGTTTCCTGAGTTTCTTTCTTTAGTTAGAATTGTTCTCTGGTTTTGTTTTCTCCCCTCGTGGAGTTTTGTTTTCTCATGTGGTTTTTCCATTATTTTTGCTGTAGTTAATACCTCAGTCCGAGAAGACCTTTTGTTGTAT